TCACCTCCGTCAGAGTTGACGCCGTTCTCCTCAACATGTTTGATGGAATCGACGTTCCAATCTTCCTCAGTGTAGATCACAGGAGTCTTCCTGGATCGCACAGACATGACAGATGCCACTGAGGAGGTGATAACCACGCGCTTGATTCCTGGGCTTGATCCCGCTGTCAGCATATCATCACGGCGGGCCGAGACGAGGCGAGACGACTGACTTGTTCTTCTGAATACTTTTGAGGATACCGGTAGTCCCTTTGACGGCAGGACCGATAAGCTCCTGGGGGTCCTTGACATCAGAGACGTAGAAGGGAGAGGCCAAGTGCGCAACGGCATTGACGCCCTTGACAGCCTCGTCAAACACTCCGTCCTGTAATGTCGCTCGTCAGCTTCCGGTTCGTCGTCGAGTGATCTCTGTGCCGCCTCACCTTGGCAATGTCCTCGACGATAGCATACTCGAACTGGCCAAGCCCCTCGAAGAGGTTTCTGAGATACTCGCCCTTCTCCTGAGACCGGACGGTCCCGCGGACTTTGTATCCCTGCTTCAGGAACTCTTTGGCGGTGTGGCTGGAGATGTATCCGCTTGCACCTGTGACGAGAATGAGGTCTCCTTTAGTAATGGGGGCCATTTTGCTGTCAGTGGAATGTAATGCAGAACAGAAGAACATGTAATCTATGCTGAGGTGATAGAGGTCGGCCTTCAAAGTGCATGACGCCATGAGCCGACATTTCGCCGATGTTCGGAATTGACCGACGCCGTTCTGACCGGACTCGAGCACAAAAACTTGCGATAAGGCTTGGATAAGGCAAAGCTCTCCAAAAGTGTAAACTTCTGATTCTCTGCATAAACTATATACATGTTCTATATATCTATGTTTCTATTAGATGGTACCGTCGTCGTACCGAACCTCTTCCTCAAAGACTCGAACATCTGGATGATAGAGTCGTTCAACGTAGTGTACTTGATACCAAGCACCTTCTCAGCCTTGCTTCCATCAAAGATGTCAAGGTCCTTGCAGATCTCGTCGTGCTTGCCAGGAGTGCCCACGGGGACGTTCTTGACAGCAGGGAAGTTCTTGTGGATACCATCAACAAAGTCCTGGCCAGCCAAGGAGCCCGCTCCGACAATGAACCTGCTGCCTCCGGCCTCGGGGGCAGTAAGAGCTCGAACGTGGGCAAGGGCAACATCCTTCACATCGAACCAGTTACCCAAGGGAGCGGGAAGGTCGTCCTCAGTCTTCTTGCCGGAAGCCCACTCGTAGAAGGCGGCGACAGAGGTGTTGAGGGACTCGGGCTTGTCGCACTGGTGGATGATCTCACCAAGAACGTTTCCGCCCTTCCTGGTCTTTCGGCTGTTCCCGATATTCTCTGTCTTTCTGATTTTTCCGGCCTTCCCCTTCATTGCTTCCAGAGATTGCTGATGATAATCAGCGACAAAGTCCATAAAAGTGTTGTCAACAAGTCCCCCAGCGGTGAGAGACAGCATTCTTCGTGGTCAATGTCTTCCGAAGCCCCTCTCCACGCCAGAAAGCTAGACCACTTGCTCTCTGAAGCAGGGAATTCGACCTCCTGCTGCTCTAGTAATACATGGATCTGATACTGGCACAACTCATCACGGACTCTTTCTCACAATTCCCATGTCTCTCCCAGCGCACTCAGTACACATCGACATCACTCCCTCGCCTCCTTAGCTGCGATCCAAGCACGCTGACCATCTTTCTCGCTTCATTAACCGCTTCCTCCAGGGGAGCGATCTCTTCCGATACAGATGCCATGCCTCCCCCCGCATCAAGATCCATGCACATGTTGTGAGCAGATTGCAAGGCAGAGAGGCGGGCGGAGAGAATGTTGAGCCATTGTGAGTGTGCGGTGGACCGTTGGCTGTGGGACAAAGCTGATATGGTGTGAGCTCGAGTCGATTAGGCCAAACAGATATAAGCTTACAGTCAAGCTTGCTGGCATCAACCTCTTCGATTCTATCTTGGACTGGGATGCTATTGATCGAGGCGAGATTTGGGTGCCCGGTTGGTGATCGTAGTTCAAGATCATTGGGATCTGTCTGTCACTGAATGATCCCAGTCTGGGATTGTTTTGACATATCTGTGATCATTGCCATAGAGACGGCCATAGCGGCCGTAGTCTTGTTATGGGCTTTGGCGACATCTCAAAGTGGTTAAGTCCAAACATCGCGTGCTCGACCGCCGAAGCAAGTCGCGTCCTTGTCGTTGAGTGATTGTCATCTCTCTTTCTCTTTCACCTTTCTACAATAATGTCTTCCCTCCCGCCTTCCACCACACCCCTTCTCTCCGTCAGCCACTCATCCTATATACACCCCCGTCCTCTCCTCAACACCGTCTCCCAGTGCTGCATTCCACCATGCGTTCTGAAGCAACGCCGGCGTCAACACCACCCGCATTCGCCACCCGGCAGAGGTCCGTGCGCTGTCTTTTCCAACGTTCCCATCCGTACTGTCTCGTATCTTGCCAGACTACCATACCCCTTCATCCAGCCAGATGCTCTTCCCCACTCATCAGGCGGGGTGTGTTTGGCGGTACTCGGAAAGCAGTTGAGTATGCCGCCTTTAGTTGCTCTGCGTCAATGAACTGATCTATCTCTACGCTCGGACACTCATCCATCTCTTCTTCATCGCCTTCTCATCTCATCACCACCAGTATACTCGCCACAACTTTCGCTGCCTTTCCCAGGACGCGTGCTTATCGCCCAACGTCGCCCCACAAGCTCTTCCTCACGACACTCGACAACACCTTCCGTCCAGGCCCGCGCACTGATAGTGAGCTTCCTTTCCCTTCTGTTTCTGCTTCTCTTCCGCCAATTACGCCCCCCTTCAGTGCATGGAATGACTGAATGTGAGTCGTTATATCTGTGGAAGGAAGATACGCATTCACTGATCATGCTATACAGGCTCCGACTCGTATCATGAAGGGTAAATCAACTACTTCACAATAAAATAGCGTTCTTGTATGTGTTCAGCTGTTGCGGAGAGATCTTTGTACTGTACTCTAGCCATAAGGAGAGTAGAATTGAACCTGGATCAAGATTATGGCATATGCAACAGTTGATCCAGAATTGAGATTGAGATAACAATCCTGAACCAAGTTCAAAACAATCCCAAACTGGGATCAAACAGGGTAGATCAATTCAAGATTTTGTTGATCCATCCTGGATCGAGATTGTTTCTGGACGTCTCAACACAAGATCAAAACATTCTCGCTCGGGCTCCACAGTGAAGTCATACTTTCCAGTAATGTGATCAGCCATTCACGACTCCCCTCGATGACTCCCATATAATAGTTTCTTGGATCGATTTGAACGAGTCATTCAACACAGGACGTGATTCAAGTCTACCTTTGCCTGCCGAGAGTTGATCTCCCTACC